ATCACATTTAACAACAAAATTGATAAAATTTCAAACTTTTCTATTTTTAAAAAATAATGATTTAAATATTTTTTTGAATTAAAAATTTAGAGACAAAATGCAATTTGAAAAACAAGGAAATTTTCTCGAAGAAATCAAAAACATCGTCGAGGAGGGCCAAGTTGTTAAACCTTTCAAATCAACAATCAACAAACCCAAAAGAAAAGCAGCAGTATCAAGACAGCAAATGAAGCTGAACATGGTGAAGTCGTATAAAAAGGGAGAAGTGACAGATGTCTTTTACATTCAAGCACTTCAGACTATTTCGGCGTTTGCTGCAGATGAAGAATTTGAAAGAAAAGTGAGCGCAGTGGAACAAATACAGCATTTAAAGATTCGTTATAAAGTGAGCAATAAAACACCTGGTCTGTTATTTGGTATTACCAAAGGAGCAATATCGACACATTTAAAACAACAAGTATCAGAACCCATTCATTCTTGTAAAATCAACGAAACAATGGATACTGCAATTGCTTCTTTGTTTGATTATTGTGATTCACGTTGTTTAAGTGTAACTCCAACATTGATTGATTCCATTTGTCAGTCTTTTGATTACAAGTTAGAAATGACAAGAAAGGGAATAATCAAACATGTTAAAAGGTTTCATGGTTATGATGTAGTTCAAGCCAAACCGGAAGAAATGGAAAGAATTCAAACAAATTATAAAAATGTATTGAATAATTATTTGACATTTGAAGATAATTTTAATGGAATTGAATCCGCTCTATTGTTCAACATTGATGAAGTAGGATTTAATGAGTGGGCAGATAAACAAAGTGTTTCCGGCTTCAGAAAATCTGGAAAGGGTGTCAAGGTTGGTATACCAAGAGCATTAAAAAGAAGAACGATCATTGCATGTATTTCAGCAGATGGACAATTTTCGGTCCCAGCAGCCGTTATTCCAAACATCTTTGTTGATGAATCTGTGTTAGCTAAATACCCAAATTTGTCTTTGTACAACTCAAA